CCACCGCCGACCCAAGTGGTGCCACCGCCGGCCAGGAAATCTGGGTCCGAATGGACTGATCCATTCGGCCTAATCTGGGTCTGTCAAGGGCTCAATTGCCCCAAGATTAAGTTAATGGGATCACCTCCCATTTCTAACTTAATCATCGTGCTAACTACGATATTTCTTAAGACATTCATTGCAGCTTGTTCCGGTGCGTCAATCGCTTCTTCCGGCGAGCTTCCGGCGAACATTCGATGAACCTTCCGCGATGCTCCTGCGGACTTCCAGCAAACTCCTGGACTTGCGACGATCCACTTGGCGAGTTCCGACGAGCTTCTTTGGCAAGCTCCTGGACTTCTCGGATTTGTTCCCGTAGAACCTCCGACGACCGTCCGGACTTCCGTCGAACTCTCGAACTCCCAACGTGATCATAGTCTTGACTCCGGTGTAACTCCTGCTGCATGTCTTACTTTCATCGTAGTTAATCCTGCACACTTATCTCAACACATAGATTATATAACAAATGACAATTGACTTCATCATCAAAATCCAAGATTCAACAGCTCGAAGTGTGATATTTAATTCATCCGACATAAGAGCGTTCGAGATCTCTTCTTATGTATCATTTTTTTGACTCGCATGTCTTGGGCACATTTTGCCTTATGTTTCTGTCATAGTATATTTTCTTACACAAGTTAGGTTTCTCAACTTATGCGCCTCAGGCACATTTTGCTTTATGCCTCTGTTATGGGTGGATCATTCTTCATGTGGGTCGGGTTTTTCTGACTCACAAGTCTCGAGCACATTTAGCCTTATACCTTCATCGTAACAAATTTTTGGTCACGCGGGTCAAGTCTCCTTAACTCATACACCTTGAATACATTTGGCCTACAATATGAATTCTTCTATATGTTTGGGCTGAATTCTTCTAGCAGCAAATAAAGATATTTTAATTATCATGATTGATACATTTACACAATATTAAATCAACATCCACCGTCATTAAGATTTCATAAAAGGAATATTTGGATTGTCATGATGGCCAAGTTTTCAGAAAAATCTACAATCATCATGAATTATTGTCATTTACACCTTCTTACAACATCATCATTATGGTTTTGGTTAAAAAATAACATCGTAATATGAACCGGCGTGTTTGACGCCGGCCTCACTGAAATTTCAGTAAGTGCGATGTCGTTGACGATAATCCTCGAGACATGTTCGAGTTGGAAGACTCGGTAACGCAGGCTGTGGATGCAGAACTCGCGCTCGTTGTTCCTGCAGCAGAGGATGCGTAGGATAACCTGTACGCCTCGATGGGAGGCGCGTAATACATCAGCACCGGCATCGACGGTGGGAGCTCCGGCAATGGAGCCTCGAGGTTAAGCACGTTGATCACCTGTTTGATCGATGGGCGTCGATCGTAATCAGGATGAGCACACCACAACCCCACAACCATCAAGCACTCCATCTGCTTCTCGTCGAAGACGCCACCCAGCTTCTCATCGGCCGCTTCAAGTAATCTTCTCCTGCCGTAGAGCTCCCACACCCATTCCACCAGTCTCACCTTGCTCGCCTGCTCCATTAGCTGCACAGGCCTTCGTCCACATGCGATCTCCAGCGCCAAGATTCCGAAGCTGTAAACATCGGTCTCCTTGCTGGCCTTGCCGGTGGTGACGCACTCGGGGGCCAAGTACCCCATCGTGCCTGCCAACACCGTCGTCTGCGAGCCGCGATCGTGGTCGACCAGCCTTGCCAGCCCAAAATCTCCCAGCTTGGCGTTGAACGCTGAATCCAGCATGACGTTACTAGGTTTGACGTCGCGATGCACCACGCACTGCTCCCACTCTTCATGGAGATAGAGCAACGCAGAGGCCAAGCCTAGCGCAACCCTGTGCCTCGCCGGCCACTCGAGAAGCCTGGCTGTGCTGTATAGATAGGAATCGAGGCTTCCGTTGGGCATGAACTCGTAGACAAGCGAGAACTCCCCGCGGTCGTGGCACCAACCCACCAACTGCACCAAGTTCCGATGCCTCAGCCGGCTTATGATCTTGACCTCCGAGACGTACTCCTTTCTTCCTTGTTTGGATCCCCTGGAGATCCTCTTGATTGCCACTTCAAACTTCGAATCCTTCAAGTAGCCTCTGTACACCGATCCGAATCCTCCCTCGCCCAGCTTCTCCTCCTCGGAGAAATTCCTCGTCGCGTCGGCCAGCTCTTGGTAAGCGAACCTCTTTGGCCCTCTTTCTCTTTCGAACTCGTCATCCATGTTCCGGTCAAATTCCAGCTCCTCTTCATCTTCTGCATCCCTCCCAGAGGTCCTCCTCCGCAAAATTAAACCAAGCGAGCCCAACACAACCATTAGGACCGCTGCCCCGATTACTACACCGACCACGAGCCCCATCTTGCTCTTCCTTTTCGCTGCAAGCGGAGTTGGTAGCAAACTCGAGTTGAAAGACCACGACAGAAGGGCATGCGTCTCGATTCCACTACCAGTGGCCGCGGAGAAGCCCACTGCTACTTTCTCTGGTAGAACATCCCGCAGATCAATGACGTAGGAGAGACTGGAGTTGCTGGACCCTGCATCTTGAGCGTAAGTCATGAAGACGCTCAAGTTATGAGTGCTGGCGTTGTAGCTCACCCAAGCATTTACCTCCCTACCATCCGTGATATTGCTTCGCCAATCCACAACCGCAGAGGAGTTGACGGAGTTGACGTCGATTCCGATGTGGTTGGCGGATGTATCAAAGTCGTTCTTAAACGTGTCGAACTCTACCGCCACTGTATTATTGATTGTTGAGTTAGCGGGAAGCGGAGTGCTGTTGAAGAGGCCGAGGCTGCCGCCGAGCGAATTGGGTGGGATGGCAGAAGGATACGACGACAGGAAGAAAGCGACACCATCGCCGGTCGAAGATTCATTCAGACCATTGATGGCGAAGACAAAACGAGTGGTGAAATCAGTCAGCTCACGGGTTTCAGGATCCCACAGGAGCAACGGCTCCCCGTACACTGCTCGACCCCCGCTACTGGTGATACTGCCGTCCAGCTGATTCTTGGTGAGCTGAATGCGATCATTGGCGACGTATGCATCCCGTTGTAGTTGGATTTTGGATCGACTGGATTGATCGAAAGAAGAGAAGTTGAAGGAGAGAGAGGTTGCCAAGGGGACAGCAATTGACAAGCAGAAGAAGGTAGAGAAAACCCAGGATCTACACAAGGTCATCATGGCTGACAAGTTCGAGGAAGAAGGACGCAAATTGGTGGGGAGGTGATGAATGGGGGTTCAAATAGGTTGCTTGCGGGAATCGATGTTTCAAAGTCCAACTAACCATTGTAATTAATTGAATAAGTAAATGCATATTCTTTCACTCTTCTTCTTCTTCTTCTTCTTCTTCTTCTTGGAATTGATCAACCACGGCGACGGTCATCACCCAATAAACAGAATCTTGCCAAATGTCATCGGAGGAGATAATTGTCCTGTTCCATGCACGTCATGCATTATTTCATACTTCCACTAGGAGAGAAGACCAACTCGAATAATCAAAATTTCCACCGCCATCTCTCGATATCATTTTTATTAAAATAAAATAAAATTTTGGACGTATTAATATCAAGCTATATAATTTTATATAACCATTTAACTCGAACCCGTCCTCCCTACCTGCCTCACTGTTGGAGCAAAACGGGACCCTTTGCGGTGGGTTCCACGTTGTCTCTCAAAGAAAATGGTGTAGGTCAAGCTTCCTACAATTTTAAAGCTAAATGCCAAGTTCCAACGGTCGAATTTCCCCTAACGCTAACACAGACAACCATGCAAGTCTCAACGGTCACTTCCACCTCTGTTTTCTTCCCCATCCGCCCTCTCTCTATCTCCTTCCCTCTGCAACCCATTCCATCTCCCCCCCTCACCACCACAAGCCACCCCCAGACCCCGTTTCCGCTGATGATAGTGTCGAGCCATGGTGGCGGAGCGCGTCGTCACGGTGGAGTACCTGGAGCCGACCATGTCACGGGAGCTCCTCGGCAAGTTCCCGGACAACTCCGCCTTCGACTTCGATTATTCCCAGAGCGGGATATGGTCTCCCCTGCTCCCCCGCGGCATCGATGACGCCCGGAAGAAACTCTTAGCCGGATCTCCAGTGACGCTCCGAAGAGTGAAAGCAAAGCTCACGTACAAGAAGCGGAAGCAGAAGAGGCCGAGTGCTATTAGGAAGAGCTTAGATTTCTCTCCGGTTCCTTCTCCTAAACTGGTAATGCTACATCCCCGTAGTACACAATCTTGGCGTTTAGGATTCCGTATGACCGCATGAGGTGGTTGCAGGGGTGGAAGAGGGTGCTGAGAGCGGCCGCGAAGCGCTTCAAGGTCCATGCAAGATCGCCGCTGCAGATGATGCTGCCCACATTATGACCCGAGAAACAGTTGCCTGCTCAACTGGTGTATCAGATCTCCACCGCGATTTCTGTAGCCATTTGTTTGTTTTCGTTCCTGCATCATGCAGATTTAATTGTTCTTGGTGTGTGGTCGGAACGAAGCACTTGTAATCGATTCACATTGTTCATGATTCCAGACATTATCCATGGGCTTGACAGCAGCAGGTATTAGATTTCCATCTTCTCTTCACCACGAAAATCCATCGTCCTCATCCTCTTTTAATTGGACCAACCCAATCATAAAACGCTCATACTTGACATATATGCTTGCATATTTAATTTCATGTACAAAGCAATACACCTCTTCCCAGGAAACTTGTGCTTCTTCTTTTCTCTTGTAGTACAGAGTAACCATTCTCTTTCGTTCCTCGATGTATTATATCTGTCAGTTGACTTTACAGATTGAGTAGATTTAAAGCAGGAAGGAGGAGCATTCACGCCCAAGAAATGAAGAATAAAGATCATCATATATTAGACATAGTGCGTGTCCCTCCTGCATCGGATCGCAGGTTGGATATGGAGAGATGTGACCCCGAAAACAACGTGCATGTAATTCCCAACATAAAGAACGCTTCTTTCTTTGTTGATTTGACCGTAAAGCTTGTTCAGTGGACGACAGGTTCCTGGAATGTCATCATGAAGCATCAGGAAAACCGATTGCAGACGAATCTTATTATTGTTTTGAGGCTTTTATAGCTGAAGAACATCTTTACCAGCTTCATCACTTCCATCCTGCACTGCCTCGTGCCACAGCCATGTTTCTGAGGAGATCCAGCAACTTGTCTCTTCTCTTCGTCTGCCTGACGACTGTGATCCCCATGGCGAGCTCGCTCTCCTTCAACTTCTCCGGTTTCGACAACGAGACGACGTCAAAGATCGAGTTCCAAGGCGACGCATCGTTGCTGGACAAGGAGGTCCATCTCACGAGCTCCCCCATGCAATACAGCGTCGGCAGAGCAGTGTACCGGGAGCCGCTCCGCCTCTGGGATGCCACCACGAGGGAGCTGGCTGATTTCACCACCCACTTCTCCTTCGTCATCAACTCCTCCGATCCCTTAACCCCCCACGGCGACGGCCTCGCTTTCTTCCTCACCGCGTATCCTTCCACCCTGCCTGCCTACTCCCGGGGCGCCTTCCTCGGCCTCTTCAGCAACAGCTCTGTCGATAGCTCGAGGGTCAGCACGGTGGCGGTCGAGTTCGACACCTTTCCCAACGGGTGGGATCCGCTCGCCGACCATGTCGGAATCGATATTGACTCGATCACCTCAAGCGCCGCTGTGCAGTGGAACAGCAGCCTCAAGGATGGCAGGCGGGCAAGCGCATGGGCGAGCTACGATGCCGCCACTCACAACTTGAGCGTTTTCCTGAGTTACGAAAGGAATCCGGCCTTCAGCGGCAATTCCAGTCTGCACTTCATCGTGGATCTGCGAGATGTGCTGCCGGAGATGGTGGCGATCGGCTTCTCGGCGTCCACAGGCAACTTGACGGAGACGCACAGCCTGCTGTCGTGGTCTTTCAACTCCACCTTGCAACCGAGGAAGCAAACCAAGGCTGGGCTCGAGATCGGCTTGGGTGTCGGAGTTGGCGTCCTGGTGGCGGTCTCAGGTTTGATATGGTTCGTCTTCTCCAAGAAGAAGGCCTCGAGTACGAATCTGAAAGAAGCAGAGGACATAGACTGCGATGAGATCATCGACGATGAGTTCGAGAGAGAAAGAGGGCCGAAGAGGTTCCCCTACGAAGAGCTGGCCAGCGCTGCGAGGAACTTCTCCAAGGAGGGGAAGCTGGGGGAGGGAGGATTCGGATCGGTGTACAAAGGCTACTTGAAAGATCCGAAGCTCGACGTCGCCATTAAAAGGGTCTCCAGGGGGTCGAAACAGGGGAGGAAGGAGTACGTCTCGGAGGTCAAGATCATAAGCCGGTTGAGGCATCGCAACCTGGTGCAGTTGGTGGGCTGGTGCCATGATCGCCGAGAATTCCTGCTGGTTTACGAGTTGATGCCCAATGGAAGCCTTGATTCTTATCTCTACACCACGAAGAAGACCCTCCAGTGGCCGGTGCGGCACAAGATCGCACTCGGCTTGGCCTCTGCTCTGCTCTATCTCCACGAGGAGTGGGAGCAGTGCGTGGTGCATCGCGACATCAAGCCCAGCAACGTCATGCTCGATTCCGCCTTCAATGCCAAGCTGGGGGACTTCGGGCTCGCCAGGCTCGTCGACCATGACAGCCACTCGCAGACGACGGTGTTGGCCGGCACCATGGGCTACCTGGCCCCCGAGTGCGTTACCACCGGCAAGGCCAGCAAGGAGTCCGATGTCTACAGCTTCGGGATCGTGGCGTTGGAGATCGCTTGTGGGAGAAGGCCGGTGGAGCCTATGGAGCAGAAGGGGAAGGTGAGGCTGGTGGAGTGGGTGTGGGAGCTCTACGGGTGGGGAAGGGTTCTTGAAGCAGCCGACGGAAAGCTCGACGGCGAGTTCGACGAGAAGCAGATGGCGTGCCTGATGGTAGTGGGGCTGTGGTGTGCTCATCCAGACTGCACCATGCGGCCATCGATCAGGCAAGCCATCAACGTGCTCAACTTCGAGACTCCATGGCCGGAGCTCCCGCCGAAGATGCCAGTGCCGATGTACTGCACGGCGGCGGCGGACGTGGCGAGCTTTAACCACACGTCTGATGGTACCAATTCGTCCCAAGTCAACTCTCGTGCTACATATTCTTCCGACTCCACTACGATGATCGACATGTGACCAATACGAATGCCTCTGCCTTCTCCTCTCAAGAACAACACTCCAATTAGACATTTAGCTTCATGTTTTTGTTTTCTGCTTTCTTCATACTTATTAATGTATATATATCAATGTTTCCATCCGTCATTTTCTCACCGAAAAACAAAAAAAAGAAGAAGCATGTGTGAATATATTGTTCGGTGTTAATTGGGAACTTTTTTCTTGTGGGTTTTCTTGAAACAATTTGGCACAATCGGAAACAAGTTATTATTTTAGTTTGTGAGTTGTTAGGGGAAAATGTTGTTGACTTCCTGGTTAGTCCAACACGATCTAGTAGGAATATTTGAGATGTCTCTAAAGTAAAAATGTCATGCTTCCAAGGTGAAAATAGTATACTCCCGAGGTGTTACCTATATGAAGACTAGGCCCATGGGAGGGTTTCGAATAGTAGGCTTGAATAGTATTTTAAAATATCTAAATGTAGGCTCGAATAGTTTAAAAAAGAAGAGAGTCCCTTATCATTTTCCTATTTAGGATGTGTTTAGGGAAAGAAAGTTTATGATAACCTTCTTTTGTCGTAAAGGAAAAGAAAGGGATTTAGAATTATTTAACTTGTGAAAGGGATTGAAGGAAGTTTGTAATTACCTTCTTTGCCATGATGAATAAGAAGGAAGCTTTTGTTTCTATACTTTAAATCTTTGTACATATAGATAGATGGAGGATGACTTAGATCTCGAATGGCAACCGTGTGTTAGTTAAGGATAGATTCCTTATCATTTGTCCTCCTCCTCGAAGTGCGACTCTTACAAAAAGGATTTGAAGTGTGTCGTTTAGTTTTTCTGACATTGGAGTGTTTGAGATCTTATTCTATGGGTTAGGTTTTTCTAATTCAAGTGCTTCGGGCCTATGTTGTCGTCGTAGTGGATTTCTCTTGGTGTAGGTCAGGTTTTCGCATCTTGGGCACATTTGGCCTTGTGCCTCTACCATAGCAAATTTATCTTTGCACGAGTTATGTTTTCCCGACTCACGTGCCTTTTGCACATTTGGCTTGTGCACCTACCATAGCGGACTTATCTCGACACTAGTCGGGTTTTCGGACTCACATACCTCGGGTGTATTTGGCTTGTGCGTCTATCATAATAGATTTATCTCGGCATTGGTCGGGTTTCCCAACTCACTCGCATCGGGCACATTTGACCCTTGCCTCCGCTATATCTAATTTATCTCAATGCTAGTTGTGTTTCCCGACTCATATGCCTCCACCGTAATGGATTTGTCTCAATGTTGTTGAGTTTCTAGCTCACATGCCTTGGGCACATTTAGCTTGTGCCTTCGCTATAATAGATTCATCTCAATACTGGTTGGGCTTTCCAACTCACACTCCTTGGGCATATTTAGCTTGTGCCTTTATCATAATGGATTTATCTAGACGTTGGTTAAATTTCCTAATTCATATGCCTCGAGTATATTTGGCTTGTGTCTCTGTCATAGCGGATTTGTCTTAATGTTGATCGAGTTTTTTTGTCTTACATGCCTCGGGCACATTTGACTTGTGCCTCCACTATAATGGATTTGTCTCGTTGCCGATCGAGTTTCCTGACTCACATGCCTCAAGCACATTTGGCTTGTGCCTTTGTTGTAATGGATTTTTCTTAGATATTTCCACCATGGCAGACTTTAACTCTTCTCTCTAGCATGGTGGATTTCAAGTTCCTTCTATACCATAGTAGATCTTGAATTTTTTTCGCTATGGCGGGCTTCAAATTTTCTCTCTGTAGTAGTGGACTTTAAGTCTCTTCTTTGCCATAGTAGATCTCGGATCTTCCCACTATGGTGGACTTCAAATATTCTCTTTGCCATGGCGGGTGGATCTCTAGCATTTTCACTATGGAAGGCTTCAAATCTTCTTTCCATCATAGTAGATTTTAAGTCCCTTTGTCATAGTGGATCTCAAGTCTTCTTATCATGACAAGCTTTAAATCTTCTTTCTGTCATGGTGGATTTCAGGTCCCTACTCCATCATGACGGACTTTAACTCTACTTTTTGCCATGGTAGATTTTAAGTCTTTCTTTCGTTGTAGTGGATCTCAAATCTTCCCCACTATGATGGGTTTCAAATCTTCTCTTTGCCGTGGCAAATTTTGTACATTCTCTTCATCATGGTAGATTTTGGACTTTCCCAACATAGCATGTTTCATACCTTCTCTCCGTTGTGATAGGTCTCAGACATTCCCCTCTTAGGATTTGTTCATGAAGAGACACTTGTCTTGATCATGGGAGGAAAGAGATCAGTTTCCTCATAAATCTTATTATCCCGTAAGATGAGACTCATTCTTCCATCTGAGTCATCAAAGTCCATAATCTTTAGAGCCTCAGGAGCTCTCGGTCTTGCCCCTAAGGTTTATAATGTGGGTTAGTCTTTGGAGCATTTATTAAGCCTTCTTTTCTTAGGAGCATCTCTCCTTCTTAGTCTTAGTTCTTGATAAGATGGGATAGTCTTCGAGTCCTTCATCCTAGATTCAGTTATGTTCTTTTGTCTCAGGTCGGAATGTCTCTCCTTTATCATATAAGTTCTTTTCGATCTTCTAGTCACCAATTGGTCAAGGTTCATGCTTCGTCTTCGGATAGTCTAAGGGCAGAGGTAATAAGGTCCTTTCTATTAGAAGGGGCCTCTCCGGTGACCTGAGGGTTATTCGTGACTTGGAGTTCATGAGGAGTTTTCATGATTACAATTCGATAGTGAACGAACCTCTCTTGAATCATTTGAGAACTAGGTCTTTTATTTCATCAAAGTTGGATCATAGGCGATAGCCTCCCTACTCTCTACTCTCTCAATTACATAACTGATAATATTGTTTTCCTCCCCTTTTGTTGCCTTTTACTGACTTAAACATCAGAGGGGTCGAGTCGGGAATTCCCCTGGCATAGACCTATTGTGCAAGACCACTGGTGACTAGGAGACAACATAGTTGTCCAACGATGACTAGACAACCAAGATAGCCTACCTAAAATATCGACGGACACTAACAACCTACAGATGATCGATCCTCGGAGAGGACCATTAACGACTAGGAGACAATACCGTTGCCCGAAGATGACCCGACAGCCAAGAAATGACCTTGCAGCTGAGCATATCCCAGTTCCTCTACCCGATCTCATCGCTTCAAGGCCAAATCAACCCTAGCGAATCACCTCCCTTGTAGACATTCTATACCGGTTTGCCACATCAACACTCCCACATCATCACAGAGGAGACACGAGGATGAACCTACACCTTTGATAGTGAACCAATCGTATCGACTCATCAGTCGATGATATCGATGACTTATCAACAAATAACCTTTTTTTTACATTAAATATATATCAATATGACTAATCAGGTTTATTCTTTTTTAATTATAGACAATTTCCCTTCTTTTATATTATTAGACATGTTGAGCAATTTTACTTATGAGGTAGAGAAGACGTGTGAGTGTGGCAAAGGTGCATCGCTTATCTATCGATAAAGTAGCTTTTCGGGAATCAAATCAAGTGTGAAGGAAATCATAAGAGCATCTCCTACTCAAAGTCAAACTTTGGGCCAGTGCTCAATAGTTGTTCTTTGGGAATGAATGGTAGCTTATATACTAATAAAAGCTAAAAGCCCGTGATTAACGTGAGGCTAATCAAATTAAAGCACTGTTATATCCAAATATAAATGCTTTCCAAGCTCTTAACGAACAAACCGATGGGGCAGTCACGATAGAGTGGCAAAATATTCGAAGCGAATCTATTCTGTCGGTGACAAACTTTGTCGGTTTCACTGTAGATGGAATCCCACCTTATAGGTTGGCAAAACGAGAAAATCTATTGGGGATAATAAAGAAAGAACCTAAATTAGGATTCGATGAAAGAGATATGGGTCTTTCTTAATTTGGTAAATGAGGTCAGTATTAAATAGGTTATTCTTTCTTTTTTAATACTATATGATAAATCATCGATAATGTTGACTGATAAGTCAGCACGATTGATTCACTATCAAAGATATAAGTTCATCCCCATGTCTCCTCCGTACTGATGTGGGAGTGCTTACGTTGCAAATCGACGTAGGAGGTCTACAAGGGAGGCGGTTTGTCAGGTCGATATGACCTTAGAGCGGTGAGATCGGATAGAGAAACTAGGATCTGCTCAGTTGCAAGGTACTCTCTTGGTTGTCGGGTCGTCTTTAGGCAGTGGTGTTGTCTCTTGGCTGCCAATGGTCTTACACAACAGGTCTACATTGGGGGGCTTCCCGGCTTAACCCCTCCGATGTTTAAGTCAGTGAAAGGTGAAGGGGGAGAAAGATAGCAATATCAGCTATCTGTTTGAGGGTAGTTTTTATACCTCTCGAGGATCGATCATCCGTAGATTGTTAGCATTCGTTGATATTTCGGGCAAGCAGTTTGTCCATTCTCGAGCGACTATTCTGATCATGTGCTGTAAGAGGTTATCTCATCACTTTCGGGCATCGATTCCTGCAATTTTGAATGGCGTGGATTCTGCTTTGTGTCACTTTTGAATCGGGTGGTATCGTTTTGGCATGCAACTATTTTTGAGTCAGACTGTGTCGTTTTGTATCGATTTGAGATGTGTGCTTGAATCCGACTAGGGGGTGCCGTGTGAGGGTTGAGATTACTGTCATATGTCGTTGTGGATGGTACCAAAGTATCATCTATCACTATCGAACTTGTATTCTTCTTTTCTTAACAATGTTGAACAGAAGAAAAGAAAAAAAAATAAAAGAAAAAAGAACCCCATTGTATAGTGACATATAATGTGTTTACTGTTAATGTCAATTCATTTCTTCCTCGTCAAGGCATCAATCCATAAAAAAACTCATTTCCCACCTTCTTGTGAAGTGCACAAGAATCTAGATCTTATCCTCGTATCCATCTCCATCTCCTTCATTTGTTTTGAGCATGCAAGCGTTCGCTATACTTGGAAACAAGCTGTTTAAAGTTGCTTCAAGATAAGGAATTCATGCTTGGAAAGAATTATACTTAAAGAAAAAGATTCCTTGGAAATTATGAGTTAATTTTGGTGTGCAATAAAGAGGAAAAATATTCTGTAGATTTTTTTTAGGATTTATTTAAGACAACTTTCGGTGTGGCTTATAATAACTCA